TCTGGAGGACCCTGGACAGGGTTCCGACTCCGAGCAGGGCGCAGAGAGGCTGGGTGGCCACCAGGAGGTGCCTGAGCCGTTGTCCAGTGGGGAGGAGACAAGGGAGAGTGATCGGGACGCCAGCAGGGAGTTGTTCCTGGATGCACGCCATCGAAGAGCTAATAGACGTCAGGAACAATTACACAATTACAGGAGGTAATTGCACTCATTTATTTTTAATATTATGTATTGTCTTATGTCTTTTGTCTTTGTACCCCCCTCCCCGTGTTTTGTAAGCCGCCCTGAGTCCCCTCAGGGAAAAGGGCGGCCTATAAATTATAATAAACACTCTAAACTCTAAACACTCAGCTGGTGGCCATTAGGCTCCTCTCCAGACTATAAAAGGGACTGCTTGTGCACACGCCCCTCTTGCAGAGGTCAACGCAGGAACGAATGTTGGAGAATAGAATTGTGAGCTTGGCAGGCTGGATTGCTGCCACGGCCAAGGACCTGTCTGTCTCTTAATAAATTCCGGAAAGTATCTTTGCACTCGGAGTGTGTTGGTGTGGGAAGAGGGGGGGTCAGAACAGCTGAGTAATGAAAAGTATGCAAGCAAACGAACCACCTCAAAAAGCACCAAGTTCTCCACAGTTCTCCCCCTCCTATAAACCCCATTCCCTTCTAGCACTGATGATGTTACCCAGTTGGGTAATGAACGCCTGCAAGAAAACCACCGAACGCAGAGAGCACCAAGAACCCCACAATCATCTCCTCTTCCTCCACGAACCCTGCTCCTTTCTAGCACTGATGACGCTACCTAGTTGGGCCATGAAACGTCTGGAAGAAAGCAACCAAGTTCGGAGAGCAGGGACCCCATAGTTTTCTGCCGCCTCCTCCCTCCTGGCACTGATGATGTTCCTTAGTTGGGTTATGAAACGTCTGCAAGAAAACCACCAAACTCCCAGAATCATCTCCTCTTCCCCTTCCACTTCATTCTGCAAAGCCCACATCTTTCGATCACTGATGACGTTCCCCAGTTGGGTAATAAAACATCTGCAAGAAAACCACCAAACTCAGAGAGCCCCCAGGACCCTCCCCCCCAGTCCTCCTCCTCCTCCTCTTCCCCTTCCTTCCGCAAAGCCCTCACCTGTTTGCAAGAAAGCAACCCAGCTCAGAGATCACCCATCAACCCCACTCCCCTTCTGGCACTGATGACGCTACCTAGTCAGGGTACGAAACGCCTGGAAGAAAATAACCAAGCTCAGAGAGCACCAAGGACCCCCCCGAGAAGAAAACTGCCCCACTCGGGGACCTCTGTTGCTTCACTTACTTTGAAGAAAAGATAGAGGCCTAGGAGGGTACAGCTGGCAACGATCGGGAAACGGGCCGCATCTCGGCTGGTGATGGTCTCCGGCATATCTGAAGCATTCTAGGAGAGAAACGGGTCAGAATTGAGACTTCCCCGGTGTAGCAGGCTGAAGCCAGGATCTTGCACTCAAAGCTAGCCCACCTCATCCACATCAACTGAACCCCTTATTAGAATAGAATAGAATAGAATAGAATGTTTTATAGATGGCATTTGCCCCCAGCGAGATTGGCCAAAATGTACCCAAATTTAAGCCCTACATGGTATTGGACCTGGGTACTTGAGAGACCGCCTGCTGCCAATTACCTCCCACAGATCCATTAGATCTCACAGGGTCGGCCTCCTCCAGGTGCCATATACCAGCCAATGCCACCTGGCTATTACCCAGGGGAGGGCCTTCTCTGTGTCAGCTCCGGCCCTCTG